ACTGTCACACACACTGGCAGTACACCCACACTGGCAGTACACACACACTGGCAGTACACACACACTGTCACACACACTGGCAGTACACACACACTGGCAGTACACACACACTGGCAGTACACACACACTGTCACACACACTGGCAGTACACACACACTGGCAGTACACACACACTGGCAGTACACACACACTGTCACACACACTGGCAGTATACACAGTGAATGGCTACAGTTTATCCACTCACCTGTCCAGCTCTTTTCAGACTGTAACAGGCTGATGATGGTCCTAGCTTATTTATTTTGTAGATATACGGAGCCTTGATCTCATCAGGAGTATCTGCAGAACCAAGCTTCTGAAAGTCTGCGGCTTGCCGTTGGCCATGACCCGTCTGTGGGGTGACGGTGCCGCACCTCTGCTCTCGGTTTGGCACGAGGGGACAGCACAGTGTCAGCAGTGCGGGGCGATAATGCTAAAGCTATCGATCTCTCTGTATCAGATCCCCGGTGGCCATGCGGAAATGCAGAGCGGAGCTGCTCAGAACCTTGCTAATGCCTTTCCCTGACTCCTCTCCTCTCTCAGCACCCTGGAGACCACCTTCGATGCCACAGTGACCACGGAAGTCAATGGGCGTGGCCTCCCCGCCCTGACCAGCCGATCGTCCCCCATGTCCTGGCGCCTGAACCAATCCCCGAGCCCCCGCCTGCAGGCCGGCGACGCCCCCTCTCTGCCAACCGGCTACCCGCCTCCCCGCTCAGCCGGCACCAGCCGCTACGGTCCCACGGACCCCGGGCGATTCATGTACGCTGGGCCCCTGCGGCGGGGGCCCACGGGGACGCGGGCCCCGGAGATGGCAGAGAAGGCGGGGGTGGAGGGGGTGGCCGAGGGCGCTGCGGAGACTGACGTGGGGGGGTACATGAGCGACGGGGACATCCTGGCGAAGAATGGCAGGCCGGAGGATGTCGGCAGCGGGTAAGAGAGACGTAAACACCAGTGGCACCAGTAACCGCTTACAGCACCAGTGGCACCAGTAACCGCTTACAGCACCAGTGGCACCAGTAACCGCTTACAGCACCAGTGGCACCAGTAACCGCTTACAGCACC